AAAATTCATTCTTGTTAGAAACCTACCCATACATTGATATATGTCGCGACTAAGAAATTGGTCTTCTGATAGAAATGTTATCTTGTTAGATATAGGTAAAAAAAAAATTATCGCGTCAGGAAAATACCTGTTTACTGATGCACGGTATAGACATGCCTTAAGAAGGCCGACTTAACCAATGCCTATACAATTTTGTCAGTCGTATAGAAACACCCACATCACCGGCGCGGTGTCAGCAGCACATTGCGACACACTGCAAGGAAGGAGTCAAAGTCAATGAAAAGTTTGCAATCTGCATGTCTTGAAACTTTTTTATTGCGTAAAATTTTATTATGAAATTATATTAGGAATAGTATAAGATACCTAGTTTAATATTCGAGATTATTGTAAAGTAAAAGTAAACATTAGCATAAAGATATTTAAACTTCTTGTTATACATAATCTTGTCATAAATATTGTTACTTAGAAAATCAAAATGTTTTTATTGAACGTAACTTTTATTACTATTACAGTGTGTTAGTTTAATACATTAATATAAAGCTATATAGCTTATTCGAAGTGGTCTCCATTGGCAGCAATACAATCCTTAAAACGTTGAGACCAGTAATCGATAGATGCACGAACTCTTTCCATGGGAAAATTCTTAACAGCCAATCTTGTGGAATGTTTTAGGGACTCCAAATTATCATGGCGTCTAGAGCAAACCTTACTCTCTAAAACTGACCATGAATCATAATCTAGTGAATTATGATCTGCAATAGATGACGGCCAGAATTGAGCTCTGATGAAGTCCGGAACGTTAATTTCTAACCAAGATTGGGTGGATCGAGCTTACTCATGACCTGGCGCCGAGTTTTGCTGAAAGGACTATTCTTGGTTCTTGAATATGGTGTTGTAAAGGGGCTTAACTACCTTCTCGAGAATGGTATCTTGATACACTTGTGCCGATGTTTTGTTGTCTTTTCCACAAAAATATGGCTCTGTCAGCCAGAGCATAAATACGGTCATTTTGTTTGTTAAAATATAGCTCAATTTAAAAAAAAATCTCTGTGACCTCCCTTTGCGTACCACTTAAGTAGTTGTTTTGATTTTACTACACTATTCTTTTTTAAATAATCCGAGACGGACAAAACACTCCATTCTAAAAAATGTAATCCCTTACATATCGATTATTATAGGAAAACATTCTTGAATTTGTTTACAATAAGATAAACGCACTCGTGATTGACAAAGCAGGTTAATCAGTTTGATAAAACGGCTAAAAATGTTTACCTGATAAGACACCGATAATCTGCTTCAGTGAATCATTATCATTTGAATTCATTGACTATATATTTCACGACATTACGAAAATTGTGTGGGCGAAGTGTGCGCTACAAACACGCTATTGAACTAATAAATATTTGGTGTTAGGTAAAAAATGCAGTGGCAAAGTGCAATTAATTGAAACTATTGTTGAGAATCGAGACTCAACAGGACGTTAGCAGAATTTTTGGGCCACGATTAAATAAAATGAGATTATATTTATTACATAAGTAGGTTTTAAATATACCCCATATAGAGACCTCAAAAGATACCCGTCTACAGATCTTTATCGAGATATTATTCGGTGTTAGAGCACACAGCGTGGGCGCACACCGACCACCTGGCCCAAATAACAATATGCCGAATGTCACCGTGTACCTACTTTATGTCACATCAAGGTGGATTGCAACTGGTACACACAACACCACTCTACACAGTTTATAAGTTTAATATGATCCTTCCTTTGAGCATAATGTTATTATTCCTGATATATTTTGGCATAAATCGTTTGGCATAATTATTTTTAGTATGAATTGTTTTTATTTTTACATAATTTTAATTGCCAATCAATGTAATGGTTAGAACTACGACCAAAACAAAAAGGGAGCTGGCGGAGGTTTTTTTTATAATAGACTGAAAATATTAAATTGGTATCTACATTAAATAAAAATGTCAACATAATGAAAGTATTAGGAAAGGATATTTATGATCCACCACATATCTATAGGAATATTTTAAAGAAGAATAGGTCCGCAGCTAATTTAACTATTGTACTAGACCGATTTAAAAAAAAAAACTTGCGGGAATCTACATCATACGGGGACAAAGGCTACAATATACCTGGGCGAAGTATCTGTAAAACAGCTAATTTGATAAAAATTTATTCCAAACATAGAAAACCGTTAGTTTGGATTTTGAATTAATGCAAAATACGTTTTGTAGAAACATCTTTTGTAGAAACAAAATCGCTACTAATATGTCATCTAAATATTCATTTTATATTTGGTGAAAATCATATTTTGTTTTGTTATAAAAACAAAACTACCAATTCGATTTCGATAAAATTTGTATGAGACCACCTCGGACCCATAAGCTTTCTATCTAATAAAAAAAAAAATGAAAATCGGTCAACAATTGGCGGAAATATCGGTGATATATACGCCGTCGAACATATAACCTCCTCCTTTTTGATTTTGAAATCGGTTAAAAACTGATATGAACTTATTTCAATAATATTTACACATGATTAGTCTCTGATATAATACCCAACTGACATGATAGATGTTATTGTAATAAAATCATAAGTTTAGCTAAAGGTCCTAAAGAAAGAACGAAAATCAGTTAAAATCAGATTTTCATTTTTATAGAACATGTTTTATTATTTTACTTGCCCTAAGAAAAAAAATATTTTCGCTATCACAAATCATTATTATCCTAATGGTACATAAGAAATAGAATTTAAGCGAAGGAACTTTCTGAAAAGGAAAGGAACGGTCGCAAGTTTTAAACAATAATATCTGAAATTCCAAAAATATACTAATTGTGTCTCCGAAATTATTGATGGTATTTCAAAATGTATGATTTTGTGCAGATATTATAATTTCATTCTGTTAGTTTATTGTTCTATAGAATACAAATTCCAAAATTAAAAAACAAGTTTATTCCATATTAACAAGTTTAAGAATGAAGTTCTTTCAACAATAAAAAGTACGACATTTGTGTATTTTATACAGTTATTTTTTATTAAAAAAGGTATGAAATTTTCGAAGCAATTTTTTTCGTAATTTCAATAATAAAAGCAAGAATTTCAATCGATATTTAAGCATTCTGTAGCTTGCTATAATTATAGGTAGTTTATATCTATATCACCCATACAGTCGACTGGTAGAAAATTACAACGGCATTAAATCTTCCTATGTACTCCTGTGCATGAAGTAATAAATAGTTTCGTTTGTATATATTATATGTTATAATAGGGTAAAATATATTCAAACAAAATATAACTAGCATTCAATTAAATAGAATATGTCCGTCTGTTTATTGCCAGAGTTTGCGCTTGCGTCACGTTAAGCAATCAAGTAACGCGGACGTCTCAATCAACAAATTTAACTCTATGCTAAAGTAACAAAGGTTAATTCAGCTTGTTTTAATTGCTGATGCTGATAGCCACCAAGGAATTAATTCGATATCGCTTGCAGACTGCAGAATGAAGTCATGTGTGTACGCGACCTATTTGGTTACTTTGGTCGATTTATTACTACGATTTATAGGTATATAAATTACCATATTTTGTGATACATTTTCATGAAAATTTTATGAATTCGTGGTGTTCTACCTCAAATGGGAATAAAATGGGAATAAATTCGTACCTAATTTCTTATTATTAAACTTTTGGGAGAAAGTAAGGGTCAAATCGTTGATGTCTTTTCCAAGAAATTACATTTCCTCTCTGCGTTCAAACTTTGGTATTTCGTATTAGCATTTCGAAATAAGGCGAAATTTCATTTCCGATGAAATAAAACACTGTCATGTGAAGTGCATGAATCTTCCTGCAACGTTTATTTGTAATACGATAAATTCAATCTTAAACTCGACGTTGAGTACAGCGCTGTCATAACATAGAGGTTCAATCAAGGAAAATTTATTTCAAAAAGTAATAAACGATAATGTTATTACAGAACACGGAATAGAATATCCGATTTCAGTAATTGAAAGTCAAGAGCCAGACATACATTACTTATTGATATACATCATTGTAGTTTGTCAGGCATTATTAAAAATATATTAATGAGAACACCTAACATTAATGATATCATTGCAGATAAGTTCAATGACTGAATTAACATCTTTTTGTTTCCGTTGAAATCGAAGGGAACTCGTGTGGGATGATAAACAATGGATTAAGTCATAAACTTTTAATTTTATCAAAAAATAAAAATGCGACTACAAATGTGATTCGTAGATTACAAATAGGTGTATGTTCATGATCTTTTAAGTAAAAGCATTTTTGTTTGTACAGTCAACTGCACGTTAGGTTATACAAATATTTCTCTTCACCTGACTTTAAACCTTAATGCTTTGGAAGTAGCGTTTAAAACCGACTGAAGAAATTTGAATATTATAGTAACGTACAGATGTACTATAAAGATGTTTTTAAAAATAATACAGATCACTACTGCTAGACGAATTCTAGAAAAAAAATCTTTCTTTTTATTATTTTTATTTGTGTTTAGTATTATTAGTTACTTATTATTAAAGGTAGGCATATAATTTTATTTAAATTATATTTTTTTATTAAAGCGTATTTGTTTATATTTCGTATTTTTTAACTTACTTAAAAAAGGAAACGTTTCTATTCTCGTCTATAGACATGCATGTTTTATGTATACCTGAGCGATGTATTCTTCCCTTTGGAACTAATTTTTTTTTTTGTGATTGATCTTCAAATTGATTAGGATTGCCGCTTAAGGTTCGTACTTCAATTAGCTACGTCCTACAGGGTAGACCCGCTGACGTTTGATTATAGTTTAAAGATATAATCATCCCGCTTCAACTCATAGCTTGGACCGCACCGATTATTGAAAATTTAGCACACCTTAAAATGCGGTGTCATTTAATGTTTGTTCTTAATAAAGTGTCGGTGTTTGCAAACCTGCCTTTAGCAATGTATTGAAATTGAAACCGTGACATTAAACATGGGTGTATTGAAATTTGTACGAAGCAAGAAAAAGGTATATTTATTACTATGTTATAAAGAGAAAGTATTATTTATTAAAATCAGAAATTTCTATACCAATTAATAGATCTAAATATATGAGTTTGTTAGTCCTTTTTCGTGGATACCATGGAGGCCTAGTGTGGGTTGGTGAGTGCTAACGACCGCAGATGCCAACGCTTTAATGTGCTACTGAATTAACATTTATAAAATTTTGGTCATCCATCTGAGACCGTCTAAGCCTAATTCAAAACTGGAGCTAACGCATAGCTATAAAATAATTTTATTGTTATGCATCTGTTGCTGTTTATTCGCGAATTCGCCCTCGTATATTATAGCCTATGTCACACGTGTATCAAGTAACTTCCCGTAGGTGAAAGAATTTTTAAAATCGGTCCAGTACTTTTGGAATTTATTCGATGCCAACAAACATTCAAATATTTGCTCTTATATTATTAGTATAGATTGCGTAATGAGTTACTAAATTTAAGTAATTTCAGGGAACCTTGATGAATTATTTAAATTTTATTGCATGCAAAATTGATGGAAAACCGCACAATATGCATTTCATTTTCCACTTGTCAAACCTAGTGCAGACTTTTCTACGGAGTCCTTTTCAAACCTAAATATGATGGGAATGGCCCATAGATAACCTTTGTAAATTAACAAAGCGAAGAGGGTGTTATTTTCTCCTAAGAAGTGATGAAAACTATTTGATAACAATTGACACATAGGTGATTGATATATTATGACATGATATCGTGAATGTGTGAATTTTTGACATTAAATAATCAAGAATTAAAAGTATCTTAAAACTCGTAATATTTTTGAACAAGAGTGTGAACGAATTAAAACTTGTTTTATAATTTTATGGAATATCTAGAATAATATAGAAAAAATGTGGACTGGAGTTCGTCGGACAAAAGAATATAAGTTTATTATGGTAGTTTAATCTAAGATTACAATTAACATTATTATTGACCTATAGTCGTTTAAAAATAGGATGTGACCCACATGTAACCAAATACAACCTATCATGTGACATATCTCATTAATTTAGTTTCTTTAACCGGGTGAATGTTTTTCCAATGAGCATTTTTAGTATTGATTGTTCGATAATTAATTTATTATGTTACGAAAGTTATTTAAAGTAATAAAACTTTATACGAAACTGATTATAATATTTAAAAACATTGAATTTTACTATGCATACCCGAGTAAAAAGAAATTAAGGGGTTACCGCGATCAGCAAGAACAAATCAAGGAACATTTTCTTCAAGCCAGATTTATCTTCCTGAAATCGTATTCTGTTTTGATTTATTTTTTGACAGACTTCAGAATCAAAAAGAAGGAGGTTATATGTTTGACGGCGATGTATTATTTTGGTTAAATATAGTAGGAGTATGTATTGACTTTTATTAATTATTTTCATTCTTCTTTCTTTGATTTACTAGCACGAAGTCTTTTTACCCAATCGGTATAGTTTCGTTTTGCAAAGGTAGACTGGCGGAGACTACTACTTTAACAATAAAGCCATCTTTTGCGTTTCTGTTTCTAATATGTGTTTTTATGTTTATGTTTTACTATGAAATAAAGTAAATATTCATTCATTCACGTAAAATTTTCACTTACAAGCAGCCATTACTCTTCCCTACTAGTAGATCGCTATAGTTCACTGTCCGTTGAGTGAAAAGATTGAATTCCAGCCTGGAATACCAACATCTTTGACATTTATTTTCTTCGAGTAGTGTAGGTGTTTATTTGGTAAATGATTTTTTTGGTAAAAGAAAAAAGAAAGTTGTTGGTGCGCTTTCCAAAATTCAAATTATATATGTAGGTATACAAGAATTGCCTTAATTAAAGTTTTTACATACTTAGATATGCAATTTGTCATACTAATAAATAAGGATTTTGTACGTATTTTGTAAGATGAAACTTTTACCTGGATTGTTTTGTTATAGATCGAGGAGGTTATGCAGCAGAAGGCGCCTGTGGTGCCCCATAACATAAAATTACAGTAAGTTTCATTCAAGTAATATCGAAATATGCATGCTGAGATTTTATGATAAAAATAAGTCGTAAATTTCTGACAGTAACGCCACCTTTTGAAATAAAGACGAACTAATAAAACTCGATAATAGACACGTTGATATCGTCGTAACGTGAAACAAGCGTATGTTATTTTCGTCACCTCTCGCATTGGGGATATAGCTCAGTGGTAGAGCATTCGACTGCAGATCGAGAGGTCCCCGGTTCAAACCCGGGTGTCCCCTGTGTCTTTTCATTTTTTCAAGTTTTTTTTTTAATTATGTAACCGTCCTACTTTTAAAATACGTTTAAGTGATAATATTATAATTCAAATGTAACTAAAGCAAAGATAAAACTTATATGCGCGCAGAATCATAACATAACATTAATTAATAAGACATAAAAAATAAAATGTATAAAAAAATAATAAATATAATGTGACAATGACATAAAAAATAAATATAATGTGTGACATTACATAAATGTATAAAAATATGATAGTAAATACCTCGCTAGGTTCTATTTCAAGCTGCTTAGATAGGAGAAAGTGTAATGTTGAATCTGTAATCTTCATTATATTCATTAATTTTAGGCATCCTCATAGCGCAAGCTCACAAATCCGCACCAAGGCTTTTTCAGCCAATTTTTTCAAGGCCACATTCAGCTCTCGTAGCAAGGCGGTGCCAGCCGTCAGTTCTACTTACGAAGTCGTCGAAACCACCAAAATAGGCAGCGCAGAGACCAAACCCATCACTAGAAATAGGCCTAGGACAGGTAAGAAAAGTAATTGAGAGGAAACCTTTATATCCTTCAAACGTCCACTCTTAAAAGTACGTGATAAACTGATTAAATTTTTTAAGTTTCGCTTCACACGTTCTAAAACACTATTAAGAATATAAAAATATAATATTAGCTTTCTGCATTTCTCAAATTCCTATTGTATTCTGCGTGTTTTCGTAAAAAGGGTAATATTAATAGAACTATTGATAAGAAATCAGTTATATATATAAATAACAAATTTTTTCAGCTACTGAAACGGACCAAACAAGCAGGAACAGATTAAAAAGGACAGATCCCAACAAACCGTTGCCAAAGCGGCCAGATAAAATACTTTTGAATCCAAAGAGACCAGAGAGAAGATTACCAACCACAACAACAGCAGAATTGAAAACACCTACTACTCCCAAAGAAATAAAAAATGACTTGAAGAGTCCTGAGGTTGTATTACAAATTGTGAAAAAATCACGCGCTCCGTCTACGCCACATAACGTGAGCGTTTTGCCGCCATCATTGAAACCGAAAGTCGTTGAGGAAAAATTGAAATTAACGAAAAATATTAACAACAATGATGTTTGGACTAACGCAAATGACAATAAGGCCACAGAGAAAAAAGCTTGCATATTGTCAGTGAGGTAAGTTATACGATTAGCTTTATACATATACAATATATGCATAATGAAATTAATAATTACAGATGAAATGGTATTTGTTATGATAATAATTCACTGGTCGAATGAAATTCAAAAAATTGCGCGAAACTGTTCTGGCAACGTTAATTGATAGTGTAATTGAAAATAAAGCTTATTGTGAAGAATTATAGTGCAGTTTTAAACTCTCAAACTAAGGTGCTGAACCTGTTGACGCACGTGACGAAAGATAATAATTTTGCTTAGATAGCTATCCTTATTTAACCTATCGCTTCATTTCTTTCCAATGTATACGTTTGTATTGTTGTCTTTCTCACACTTGTAGGATATTTTCTTGGTGGTGATTATGCGACTACTTTACATAACCGTTTAAAAAGTGCTAGGATAAATAAGGTCGCGGGTATTTAATTCGGTAGGATGTTAGAGAGAGAGATGTGAGACTGCCCGTTTCTCATACGCTTTGAGTTCGAATTGTACAAGTTTGTTTGAATCGGTTGGTCGCTGATGTCGTTTAGCCGGGCGACTGTGCTTTTTTTCGAACTTTTTCTTAAAACGAAATAGAGTTGTTGCCGAGTTTATGGTGTATCAGTTTCTGTGATCAGTGAAGTGTTACATTTTCGGTGATTGGAATTCTGTTGCGTTAGTAATTAAGCATGGGATGTGGAGTCGTGCAATGCCAGATGTTTTGAGACAATTGAATTTGTTCACTGTCTTAATGCATAGTAGCTTTCTCACATCGGTTAATACTATGACACGTTATATGGTGATTTTAAACATGACGTGAAAGTTATGTTAACACATGGATTTGCGTTACACTGTCTTGTGTACTACATAATTTTTTTTTGCGTGTGTGTTTTGATATAGATAGTCAAATGAAGTGCAGTATAGGTTTATCTATTATCAAGATGTTGATTGAAATTATTATATAAATATACTTGATTAATTGACAAGGTGATGTTATGACGTATTTTGATATGTTTGACCATGTAATGACTGATATACTTTGGTATTCTGAAGAAAGAAAAAAATACTGGGGTACCGACTACTCAATCACTAGGCAGTACGTATGTGAAGTCTGTTTTCTGAACCCGATCGCAAATCAAACCCGACATTTCGATGTTTGCACAATGAATCCAAAATCGTTAAAGTACTTCTGTGTGTATTCAATAAAAGTGTCATACTCAAAACAAAAAATAAAATACAAGTGTTATACAATTTGAATTTGTTTGTTTTTAATTAGCAGTACCTCGCTTAGGGTATGTAATTTAATTTGTTATCCCTTTAGTCTTACAACACATTAATCATGTAATACAAGCTTTTTTCTTAATTATTATTAATTTATGTAGATATGTCCAGGAAGTTTAACTTGTTGATTCTCACGCTGTCATATCGTCGCTGCGCCTGACAAGTTCCATATGTAATTTTACTAAGGTTTTGGAAAACAACAAAAAACTGTTTATTAAATAAACGGAAGGAATTAATAAAAAACTAATAATGCAGATTCAAAAACATTTATTTAAGACATATTACTAATAGACAATTGACCATAAACATTAGCTATTTATGGAGTTAGAATTTTTTTTTGTCAAAAACTGCACATAACTGGTTCAGCGCCGTCTGTAAAATAACTTATGTGCATTATTATGCACTCATAGGATTTGGCAATGTGACACTTTTATATTTTTAGGTTTAAAATTATGTGTTCTTTTGATTTACTTAGCAATAACATAATATAACAAAATAAATAGGAACTACATCTGAACTATTAAATAATCAGTCGTCCTTAAATTACCAGTTACAATGATTGAATATATGAGATCTTAAAATATAGCCCCTTTTAACACTTAATCCTTAGTTTCTATTATCACATATAATACCAATTGCAATATTCTATGCTTTATCACAGCATTTAAAACTAAAAACAATTCAAGAAAAACAAATAAAAAATTCAATAAAACTTGACAAAATCAAATTATAATACAAAACAAGGTAACAAACGCTTACAATCTAAGTAAGTTAATCATAATAGAAATAATTTATGAAGTTACTCTCTGTAATGGAGACTATCATAAAAAGCATGATAATCGCGGTGCATATAAGGTTTCAATGACTGGAGACTATCATATTTAGTTTTATCAAGTTTTCGGGGTTCGTTGTAAAGTGGAGTAATAATTGGTCTTGGGTTGAAGGCACGAACTCGCTGAGGTAGGACTTGCCATTCGTCGGGGTGCCGTATCTTGTAGAAGATACTACCATTTTTATACAGAAGAGCTCGTAAGTCATTTACAGTCGGATCTCCTGCCCTTTTACCAGGACGAATGGAATCAAGGCAAGCATCTTTCTCATAATTTTTAAAAAATGTGTAATCTACATGGTGTACATGATATGGTTGCTTTGGTCGAGCTTCTCTCATACGAGTAATATAGTCACTTGGTGTGTAGATTGGGGGACGAAACTTCTTCTCCAATGTTGAGTGGACACTGTCTACTTGCATCATTGTATGACCTTTTTCTAAAATTATCTGTTCAATCTCCAATGCAGTCTCCTTTGTTAATTTTAATAGAGCCGATGACAGAACTTTATTTCTATTCTGATAAGAACACCCATCCGAAATTATTATGATTTTCTTGTAGTTTAACTGAGTTTCTATGAAGTGTATTAAGCAACTTGTAAACTCATTAGCCGTAACACCTCCATCTCCTTCGTGCCAAACATATAAATGAACATCTTTATCATTATTAACGTAAATTGACTGATTGTGAACTTGAAGCTTTTGCTTATAATATTGAACCGATACCAAAATCTTTGGACAAAGGAGGATAGATTGGACATCAACAGTCAAAATAAGCACTTCGGATGACCGCATACTGGTAGCATCAATATGTGCTCTGTAAGCTTCATTTTTTTTTTGAATGTGTAATGTGTATTGCTCTTCTGAGATATTACCTTCTTTTCTGGCTGAGCATATATCGCACTGATCCTTTCTTGGTTTATAAATAGAAATCTTTTCCTCTTCCAACACCTTATTAAACTGTTTGCGACCAATATTTGGTTTTCGGTTATCCTTACACCACTCTGTATAAATTCGAAACATGTGAGACTTTGATTCAAAAGTATCGTCAATATAAACTCTGTTACTGCTAGAGCGACAATAGTGACTTGGTACTTTATTAAGTAAGTTCAACCATTCTTTAACAGCAGTTGATCTGACAGTTTTCAAAACAGGTATTTTTATTATCTTTGATTGTCGTTTTTCATGTTTAGATCTTAAGTCCTTTCCTCCTTCTCGATTTTCCTGCAGCTTCTTAATCCATTCTGACAAGGTATCGCTATTTATATTAAAAGTGCTAACAAAAAAGCTTTTACACACCTTTACAGTGACATTCTGATCATCTGGTAAATAATAGTCATAGGCCAATTGTCTTTGAGATGCATCCTCTGAACCAATCGCGTTTTTACGTCTTCTCAATACCGAACGCATACGAACAAGATTTTTCAAGTAAGCCTTTTTAGCATCCCAAGTATTTAAGGTCCAAAAATAATGAAATATTACTTTTCGTTTCTGTTCGGAAATCAAACCGCATAAAAAGCTCCTATCAGATTTCGATATAGTAGAATGAGAACATGGTTTTCCTTTCAGATGTTTTCTAGGTTTTGGTACTAATTCATTTATTGCTTTCTTTTCTTTTTCAATCCATTTTCTCTTTCTTCCTATATATTTTTCACCACGTACTCTCTTTAGTCTATTAGACTCTCTTTTTCTATTTATCTCCTCATCACTGCTTGAATACTCAGTTTCAGATGGTTTGGTATCGTTTTCTCTGTTCATGTAAACTGTATTATAATTAGGTTCTAATAACCCTGTCTTCTCATTGAGATAGTATTCTTCGCTATTTAAAATTTCTTTATAATAATCCATATCCTCTCTTATCTGGCCTGTCACTTCATCGAGAATATATCTTTTGTTTAAATTGAGAGGAATCTCATTATTTTGAATTTCGACACTATCGGTGTTTTCAGGAATGCTAGAAATGAATTCTAATGTACTTACAAAAGAATCAAGATTTTTTTCATACGTAACGTCCTTTAATTCTTCAAATAGAGGAACTTCTATATTTTCAGATGACACGTTGTATATGTTTGTGATTGTATCGGAAATATTATTATTTTGGGTCAGGTCTGAATTTCGCAAGCACTGCGTTGGATCGTAACTACATGACAAAATAATATCCGAGGATATATTCAAATCTTTACTTTGATTACTGTTTATGATTCCTTTAGCCAAATTTACCAGTACCTGTGCTCGTGACGATGGTTTGCTTGGATGTGAGTTAAAAGCCATGTCGCCTGAAGCAACAAAAACCAAGAATTAGGTAAACAGCACAGGTAGGTTATATATATATATATATATATATATATATATATATATAAATAGCACCTAAATACACACATTACCTACATTCCTATGACGTATGTTAAGATTAATATTCTCAGATTTGCATGTATTGGTAGGCGATAAAGCACCCTATTTTTATTGTTTTATTTTGTTAATTATGCTATATATATACATACGTTACACAGCAACGACCCAACAACAAGCGTTCATGCTCATATATAACTTTATTGCTACCTGGATTTGAACCCAAGACGTTAGATCAAAAATTTAACTGCCAACCCTCCAAACAGGTCGTCAAAACCCCAAGTTTTAAAGACGAGACAAAACCTAATAGCCAGATAAGTAGCAATATCAACTCAAGAGTTTAGCTGTAAAAAGGCAACAAAACGGTAATAAACCAATAACCAAACTGTAACAAACCGGCAATAAGTAGTAGTTTATCGAATTATAATTTATAATGTAATCTAAGTATTTGCCAAGATTCTGATAATTATAGGTATTAATAGTTAGCAAATAATCTACTATATTTCTCCTATAAATATAACAATGTAAGAAGTAATAAAACTGCGATGCACATATTTTAGGTTAGGATT